AAATATCACCGAAGGTGTACTCACCCACTGTCCATACGCAACCGGCTGGTATGTTGCTGGTGGAGGCTCGGCTTTGGATCCATCCACATACTGCTGCGCAGCTATTGGCGCCATCGTCATCGCAGGATATCGCGGTCTAACAGGCTGAGTTTGTTGCTGGTAGAGAGGTGACTGCACATGCACAATTGGCTGCTGGGCCATATACTGCTGAGGCATGGGGGCTTGTACAACAGTCGGCTGGTACGGATTCTGTACAGGAGCCTGGACAAACGTGGTCTGGTACTGCTGAGGTTGTATCAACTGCTGCTGAACCATTTGATGGGGGTAGATGACTTGTTGGTACTGCGTCTGGTACGAAGAAGGGTGAGCAAGTGATTGATACTGCTGTGGCGCACAGGTGATCACTTGAGTCGGGTAGTGCTGTGCAGAATACTGAACGTAATCAGTATGGGTAGGGAGCATTTGCGACTGCTCAAGCTGAGTCTGAGGCAATTGGGTCATTTGTTCTTGTGGCTGACATTGCATGACTGAAACTTGCTGCTGTTGCATCGTATTCTGTGGTACCGGCATGACGATGGTTGGTTGCGGAGGGTACATTTCAACCGAAGTTGGAGTCATCATCGTGGTTGGCTGCATGTATACCTGTTGCTGGTACGGAGGATAACTGTAACAAAAATGAAAGCATTAAACACGTAGAAAAGTGAAAAACCAAAAAAAGAAAAAAGAGTGAAGACTCACACAACTTCCTCATTAACAGGATACTGCATCATTTGCGGATATGATTGATACATTACTTGATGTGATGGTGGATTTGAGCTAGTTGACCGATAGCTGAACTGACTAGCACGATCCGATAAGCTCGCATTATTGAATCGTTCCACGGTTTCGTCAATAGGGTCACGAGGTGAAAGATGGCTAGCTAAATGATATAAATTTGTTACATCTATGAATCAGTGGCGCGCCGAGGAGGGAGGCGGGGTTTAACTTGTAAATATTAGGTTGGTCCGAAAGTTCTGTCGTTTCATTTTTTTTT